ATTATCAGTCAACTGACATATTATCAGCCACACTGCTGTATTCATATCCATTATAAATTTAGCAGGGATGGACAGGTTTTCTGAAATTTTCAGTTTCTGAGATTATGAGGTTAAGGGGGGGTTGGCAAGTTGTTTTTGCTTTAATAATATTCCTCAAGGCTGCATTGAATTTATCAAAATTGACAGTAAAGGCATTGAATGTAACATTCAATTTTATATTGTAATATTATTTGACATGACAATTTTTTACTGTATTTTTGGTTAAATAAATGCACAAGAGACTTCTTTCAAAAACATTAAAAACATCTTACCAGCCCCAAACTTTTGAATGGTTGTACGGTTATTGTATGCTTATTGTCACAAATACTAATTACATCAATACATAATAATGATTGGTTAGTTTTCACTGCCAAACAACATAAAAATTCACCACAATTTTTTAAAGAAAAAAAAAAAAGCCCCACAAAACCCTAATAGGCTGACATATTTAGATTACAGGACAATAAATATGGGTTTGTCAATAACTAATTCTTTGATTTTTACTTTTGGTCCTCCCTCAATCTTGAATATTTAGTTCCGGCTTTCATTATAATACTAAAATTATTTTCTCCGTGTTAAACAATCTGTCTGTTTCCGTGTCAATAACCTTGTGTGTCATTCTGTGCTGTCAGAAACTGACTGCTTATCTCGACCTGAATCTGGACAGATGCTACATCATCACCCTGAACACCTCTATCGTCATGCCGCCCAGAGATTTCCACGAGTTCCTGGTCAACATCAAGGTAAACAGCCACATTTAATAACAGGAGATGCTGTGAATTTGTGTCAATAAGTGGTTCTTGTGTTGGCGTGGATGTATTTTTCACACAAATGCATTTCAGACGTTAGGTTTACGTTTTCTGTGTGTGTTTTGCAGGCAGGAATGTATCTTCCTCAGACGTACCTTATGCGAGAGGAGATGATGGTTACAGAGAGGCTGGACAGCACCAGTGATCTGGGCTATTACATCAATGACCTGTGCAAGGACAAAGACACGTACAGACTCCAGCGCAGAGACATCATACTGGGTAAGTGTACACAAACAAACCAAAGACGTTGTTTACAGTAAACGGTGGTTACGTCTTTCCACTTTCGCGGTGGATCTTGTTTTCAAGTTTTAAGCACAAATATGTGCATAAGTGAAGGAGGCGCACAGTATTTCCTCTCATGTTAACCGTATAAACAAGTACATTTGAGGTTTTATATACTTTCAAACTTCTGAAAGCTGAATGTGCTCCACTGCAGGTATGCAGAAACGTGAAGCTTTGAACTGCCACAAGATCCGCCATTTTGAAAACAAGTTTGTTGTGGAGACTTTGATCTGTGAGCCATGAAGAACATGACTCTCTGACGAAGCAGCAGATCTTCAGCTCTTCCTTTCATTCAGTGAAAACCTTTTCTACTGTAGGCCTTTTTTTCACATATTTTTTTAAATCTAAAATATGAAATTGTCTTTTCTGCACAAAGATGTGTATTATGTTTGAGTATACATGTAATGTGTGTCTTATGCTATTTTATGAATATTAGACTTAATAAAAGGACATATTGCGCACAAGAGCAAAAAGTGATTAACAATAGTGATTTTAGCCTATATAGAAGTCCAATCAGAGTTTAAGACAGTAAGTAATTTAATCATTAATAATTTATTCCCATGAGATTGCTGAAAAATGTATGATTTTTTTTCTGTATCTTTAACATTTGCAACATCTACTGTACTTAATTTTGATACTATTCAAAGTTTCAGCAAATCAGTGTATAATGTGGATCACAATGTTGCAGTGCTAAAATGCATAACGTCACAATTTGAGGTTTTCTTGAATTTGCATTTTATTTGCAAATATAAATATTTAGTTTTAAATGAGATGGATAACCATACAAACAGAACTCTTTCTTTAAAATTACTACAAATTTTCCAATCTGAAATTACTTTTTGTTTTTTGCTAATTTGTATATAAGATAAAATAGGATCCTAAACTTTACACCTTTCTGTCTTTATACACAAGCTTTTAAATTCCATATAAGAAACAAAATAAACAGAAAAATCATACACAATGTTTTTGTCATGCTTATGTGATATTTTGTTAGGTTTGTCAGTATATACTACTATTCAAATATTTGGGGTGGATTTTTTTTTTTTTTT